AAATTAAGCTCCAACTGGCCTAGCAAATCTTATGATTCAAGCAGAGAACCACCAACGGAGCACTGAGGCTAGACTGGGAAATTCCCACGCCTCAGTTCTAAAATGCCTTGGTCAAGGTCATCTGGGAAAGTCAGACTGAATGGCCCCCTTAAAATCGTCTCTCCAAGACTACTGCAGAATGAAACCATTCGTCTCCATAAACCCCTCAGTTGACATTTGCACTGCAATCACAAGCAACATTTACAAAGGGCGAGAGACCCTGGAAAAGGAGAAAAAATGTTGTTTTCTGAAAGCATGAAGACTGGCACAAAGAGTTTTGCACAGTTGGAGGAACAACCAGCTGAGGCCATCACAACAGAGAGGCTCCCCAGGGGCTAATTTGCCGCTCCAGATCTAGCGCAGTTTAATCCCACTGTGAGAGTTCACTAATGGTCCTGGCAATTCTGACGGAAGCACTCTGTAAAGGCTGCTTGCCCTGGGCAGAGGACGCTACTCAAAGCAGGTCCTGTATTTCTCAATCTGTGAAGTAAAACTTTAACTTACTCCTTCTTTTATACTAAGTTCTAAGCATTTTACAGTAACAATAACAACAAAGCCCACAGGCTATGTATTTTCTTAGAAAGTAGAAGGCTTTCCAACAATTAGAGCTTTCTAAAAATGGAGCACATCACTTCGGGAGATTGAGTTCCCTCTCCCTGGACGGGATCCAGCAGATGCTGGTGACCGACTGGCTAGGACATCACAGAAGGGACTCGGGCACTGGTAGAGAAAGGATTAGGTGACTCCCATCCAGTTAAAGGATCTAAGAAAATGGAGGTGATTATCCAACTAATTCTGGGGGGTTGGGGTGTAACATTCTTGCCACAAATCTAATCATTTCAGGGGACAAAAAATGTAGGTTTTTCAGGAAGCACCCTCTTCCATAAAGACACACCCACACATTCCAATTCTCTTCCACAAACCTAGCATAAATGGTTGGAATCCCACTCTGACAAACTCTACGACATGACCCAAAAGTATGGGAGGAATCTTGGCACACAGACTTTCGATCCACAGTAACTCTCCTTGAAATCACAGGGTGGGTAACAGCTTCTGCAATACAATTATCTGGGGGGTGCAATGTCTGCATTTGCTGGGATCAACAGACCTGTTCACAGACAAAAAAAGAAATTACAAATGTGACTGAGCCTATTATGTGAAAATCCACACAGAGTACCACAAGATGGATTTAGTAACTGTTAATTTCAAAGATAACTAAAAGGATTAGACCAGCTGTCCAGTCTGGGCAGGTTTCCTGGCTAAATGTAGAGAGGTGATGCCCCATTGTTCTGGTTCCTGTATCATAAGCTCACAGGGTTCTCTCCACACTCCTTCACAGCATTTTGCAATTGTAGTTACAAAACCAATTATTCATTTTGTTATAAGTGTCTGTCTTCCATACTGAAAGTTCCAGAAAGGCAAGGCTCTCACTGCATTCTCAGTGTCTGTACCTTTTCATGCAGATGTGGAAAAACAAAGTAAGAAACATATTTACTGAATAAAAGAGTTCTCATCTATACAGCCACTGTATTACCAAAGTGAAGACATCTGAGAACAGTGGGCATAGGCCAGGATGTGGCGAAATGAGGAGGGGAGGGTATAGCTCAGCGGTAGAGTGGGTGCTTAGCATGAGCAAGGTCCTGGGTTCAATCCCCAGCACCTCCATAAACAAACAAACAAACAAACCTAATCACCCCTCCCTCCTCGTAAAAAAGTTAAAAAAAAAAGAAGACAAGAATGTGGAGGGATGAAAATGCTCATACACTGAGTGTATAAAACGGTACAACCACTTTGGGAATTTGGTATTTTTCTAATGAGTTTAATGATAAGCACACCTTATTACCTGACAAATTTACTTCTGTCTGTATCCTAGAGAAATTAGACTTATGTACACTAGATTATATGTATTGGAACATTCACAGCATTGTTCATAGTTGCCCCAAATTGGAAACGACCAAATAGCCACCAACAGTAAAATGGATTCATGAATTGTGGTATATTTGGGCAATGGAATACTACATGGCAATGAAAGAACTAAAGCATCATGCAATTACACAAGTAAATCTCATAAGAGATGCTGAGAAGAAAAAAAAACACAGGACACAAAAGAATACATGCTGTATGATCCATTCATATAAAGATCAAAAAAAAAAGACAAACTGAACTATTTATTTTAGGGCTGCAAAGATAAGTTTTGAGTTCTACCAAACATTCGAAGAACAGATAATTCAAAACTTACACAAGAAATTCTCCCCAAGAAGAGAAAGAAACTGGAGGCTACCACTGTACTTTGGGTGGGAGAGTCCCACGGAGGAGGAGGAAAAACGCAGAAAATCCAGTAGGAAGTTACTGCAGTGGTTTAGCGGAGACTGCCAGGCAAGGGCTGATGGGTTCTTCTACCCACCTAGGTTCTTCTGACTGCTCTGAAAGTTAAATTGGCATGGGACAGATGAACAGGATAAAGTAGTGACGGTTGGCCCCAGCTAGGGTGGGAGCAGTGGGACCGAGGGAAGCAGAGGATTAAAGAGAGACACAATAGACAGGACTGGTGATAGAGCAGACACAAGAGGTAAGGTGAGAATGGTGCCAGGGAATACTCCCTTATTAAAAGAAAGGAAGAGAGAAAAAAGACTGCAAATCTGCAAATTACACGATTTACAATACAGTCCTAATTCTGATGCTTTAAAGTATATGAACTTTTCTAAAAATAAATTCAGTATCAAAAAGAAGAAAAAACTGCAATGGTGGTTAAAACACATAAAATGTTAAAACTCATGAGGTTTAACACAAAAGAAGAAAGAGGGGATGAAGGGTTTCAAAGGTTTTAGCATTGCTGGGAAAGTCGTAAAAAACCAAACCAAGTTAAGGATGTGCGTTGTAGTCTCTAGCATAACCTCTAGAAGAATTAGAAACTAACAAAGTAATAGATGTCAAAAAAGAAAGGAAAATGTTTCATTGATACAAATAAAGCCAAGAGAGAAAAAAAAAAAAGACTACAAATAGGTGGGTTAAATAGAAGCAAAGAGTAGGACAGGAGAAAAGTACTGTCATTTTACTGCATGTGTTCAGCACCACAGGATCCTTCCAGAATGTGGGAAATTCCTTAGGACAAACAACCTGATTTCTTCCACAACTAAATTGCAAGGGGAAAAAAAGGAGGGGTAGTAACCTAAAGATTAAGACACATATTGACCAAATGCGAAGTGTGGACCATGTTTGGATCCTGATTTGAACTAATGCTGCTCAAAAAAATAAATATATATATATAATGAGAGAAACTTGAACATTAACTGAAAAATGATTTAAAAGAATTATTTTTAGGTGTGATAATGGTATCATACCAATGTTTTTTTAAAAAAAGAAAAGATTCCTTACCATTTAGAGATACATAACAAAGTAATGAAGAAATTACAAATGAAATGATGTTACCTGGGATTTGCCTAAATACAGATCAGTTTGGTGACGGTGGTGGTGGGGGATGCTCAAAAGGAAAGATGATGGAAATGGACCAGTGTGTTAACAATCACTGATCCCAAGTAATACTTACATGGGGTTGATTACAGTATTGTCTCTATTTCTGTATTCATTTGAATTTTACTGGAATGTAAAATATAAAGGAACAGAAGGAGAAAGGGAGGGAGGAGGGACCTCTAGATAGATACGTATGTATAGAAAATGTTTTGGCAGGATATATTTCAAAGTGTTTAAATGGTTATCTCTGGGATAACGTGATCACAATTTTTAGAAAATGTTACAAATTTATCATCTCCGGGTGGGGAGATCACTGGGAACTTTCAGTCTCTTCTGGCTTAGCTATGTTTTGTAATTGTTTCTACAGTGAACAAATCAGAATGTTTCAAACACTGTTTAAAAGGACAGAAGACTGCCAAAAAACAGCTTCCCACTTAAATCCACATTTCTTAACCATTTCTGGGTCCCAGTCCCTTTGCAGAATCTGATGAAAGCTACTGTCTCCCCAGAAAAATGCACAATCCTACAGGATTTTTCATACAATGTTAAAAAAAACTCTGAAACCCCAGATGAACCCATACTTTCTATGTTATTAGCAGTTATAATAAATAACAATAGCTGACTTTTATTGCATACTTGGTATGTGCCAAGCATGTTCCTAAGTGCTTTCCAAGTGTTAACTCATTTAATCCTCCCAGCAACTCTACGGGATAGGTGGTCTGATCACCCCCAATTCACAGATGAGGAGTGGGGACAGAGAGGCTGAATAATTTGCACAAAGTCCCATAGCTGCTGATTTTTTCGGTCGACTGGCAGAGCCAGCATACAAACTTAGCAGCCTGGCTCTACAGCTGGCCTTTCAATTACCACATGAGGAGGCCACTCATAGAGTTAAATCAAATATATGAAGCCAACGCAACATTCTCAGTCCGGCTCTATAAAACATCCACTAACTCAGCTAGCACTAAATGCCTACCATGAGCCAGACTCACCCAGACACACAGCTCACCCCACCCTCACAACAGCATCTGTAGGGGACCATCCCGAACACCTGGCTGGGTGTTGGAGAATCAGAAGTCAAGCCTGTCTTCTGACTTCAAGTTCACCATACCACAGCTGATTCCCTTTAAGCTGGGGAGATGGTCTGTTCTAAGTCACACAGATCTCCTCGTGGCCAAAATCTTTTCAAGATAACTGGTAGTGGTCCAGTTTACTAGTTCAATTTGTAGACCTCAAAATTAGCCCACGATGCAAAGCAATCTAGTTTTTGAGATATTTTTTCCCTCATCCCTCTACTTTAGACAGCTGAGACATCTTGGGTGGAGACATGCTTCTGAAAGTTTGCACCTGAAGTTCATACACATGCACAGAATTGCCTGCATATACTGAAAATAACTGCTAGGTGCTCTGATACGGCACTGCACTCATGCACCACGTCGCTGGTACAGATATGCACGAGCAAATTACACGAAAGCCCTCCCGATGCTTACAGTTTCACAGTTCAAGCATCGAGTTTCATTGGTGAGCGTTCCCTGAAAAATCTCATGGACCCAGGTGAGTTCTGGTTTATTATTTTCCACAGGTTCGTTCATGTTGCCATTTTTTAACTTTCCATTTTGTTTCTCCTGTTTCTTCTCTTCCTGCAGGATGTCCGCAATAGTGTTTAGCAAATAATTTAAAAATTCGTGAGCATCCTGTTGCATGTAGTTATCAAAGAGATCTGCAAGGAAGAAGATCATTATTTCAATCTCTGGTACTTGAAAAGCAAAGAAAATGCTTAATTTTACAAACCACACTTCAATATTCATATTGAAAGAGTGGACAGGTGTGGACTATATTCATCTCTATTTTGCAACTTCAATGGGTAAGCTTTTCAAAAATTTTTGTTCATTTCCATTTTTTACCACCCATCCAGAACTAAATGTCCTATATCTCCCCTAAAAGTCATCATATAAAAAGCAACCAACATTTTCATTTGTTCTACAAACGAAAAAAAAATAGCAGGAATTACTTAATAAGCTCCCTGATAAAATATCAATATTTAATATGATGTGACCACCAATGATCAATTATTCATTTTGTAATTTATTCAGACCAACAGGGTCTCTTCTCAAAGATCATATTAAACCCTGGACAAGGCTGGAAGCAGCTTAAATGAAACACACAAGGGAGACGAGGGTTATGTGTGAAAATGTATCTGTCTGTCTGACAGTGTTCTGAAACCAAATACAAAAGCTTCCAGAAGCCTGCCGCTCTTCCCTACCATAAGGACAGACAATCGAGAGACGGATGCAGCTGCGAACCTTCATTATTAATCACAGTCACAAGGAGACTCAGGAGCGCTCTGCTTCCTTCCCAGATCATTTTTATTCTGACATGTATAAACTACAACAACTTTAAAAGAGAGCAATCAAATTAAATGAGACTTTATAAAACAAACAGCTGGTTAACTGTGCCAGTCTGTTGTAACAGGGCTGCAACCCAGAATAAGCACAAGTTGCCGTGTCAAACATGTGTATGGTCATAAAAATTACCCAGGCAAAACTCCTGGAAGAACCCAGGCTCTACCACCCCTTCTCCCCAAAAAAGGAGATAGGAAAAAACAGAAGAAAATCAGTTGACAGTAGGTCATTTTTATCATATAAAAATATCAATCTGATATCCTTCAATTGTCTCTGGCAAATAAAAATCAGAGGTATTATTTCTAAATCAGCAGAGGCTCCGATTGGATAATACGCATTTACTTTAATCACTTATGACAAGTTGAGAAGATAGTACTGTTTTATTCAATTATTGCATCAACCTATTTTTATAATCAGTGTCCTGCCTTGGGCAATCTTTCCTCTTCCAATGACCCTCCCCGCAAAAAACTCCCAGTGTGGAGCAAATAAAAAGATCATTCCAAAATGCGATGATAAATCCAAAATTTTAAGTATATTTTTTTATCCACTTTTGTTTGATATACTGGGTGGGAAAGGAGAACTATCTTTTCTTTTAAAAAAAAATGGTATCCGAGTAGTTGGCCGTACTATTTTCCCATTAAAAAAAAAAAAAAGATTCATTCTGAGGACACAGAACTGTCGATTCTCCTAATTTCAGAGCCTGAAACAGCTCTGTCTCCACACTACTCACCATTTTCTTTTCTCAGCCTCGAAATGAACTTCTTTGGTGGGATCACGCCAACCTTCTTCTTCTGCGTGGCGATGCTGTGGAAAAGGTCTGCCAGGCAGGTCAGCAGGTTTTCCTTCTTTTTTTGCTGGGCTTTGTACGCCAGCACATTCTCCCGGAACGGCCGGCAGAAGTACAAGGCCTGGAGCACGGAGTTACAGTAGCATGTGTTTCCGAACTGCGGAAGGACAACAGGGATGGTTCGCAGCAGGGTCCGGGGCCGCTATGGACCCGGTCGGGAGAGGGAGAAGGCCACCCTCTGGGGACCCGCCCAGGTTCCCCCGTCTTTGTTAGAAGACCAGTAAGTCACTCTGACCACCAGTGCCCACCTGAGCACCACAGAAACGAATACAAGTACGCAAGCCTGGCAGCTCTCCAGCCCATAAACGTCTCTAAAATGATGTGAAGCACTCGACCTTGATTTCAAAAAATCTAATGAGACCTTCTGGTGCTTAAAAAAGAGGGAGACTCTGAAGAAGACAAAAAAACCCAGCGTAATATGGAGACCCAGAAAAGCAGCTGGCTACACACAAGATGTCACGTTGCTACACATCAGAACTCCTACGGCAGGAAAAATAAAAATCCCAATCAGGAAGAAACCCGGGGAACTAGGCACCACTTGCTCCGCTACAACAGCCTTAACTGAATGGGGACTTGTTTTGGTTTCTCTTTTTCAGGATCCTAGCACCCCTGCCACTGGCTTCAGACCGCATCCTCTCACCTTCTCCAGAGCAATCTTGTTTCTGCTAAGGTGGCAACTGTCCCACTACAGTACTACCCAGTTCCTGGTCTCCTGCAATCAGATGAGGGCCCACGCAGTAAGATTTTGCAACTCTCAAATGCCCTGGATATTCAAGATTATGATTAATGAGGGAAAAAGTCACCATCTCACTGGTTTTCAACCCACTATAAAACCAATCCCATGGGAGCACACGGAGCTGAGACATTCATTTTAGAATTTTTCATACACACTAAAATGAAAACAATCTAAGAAAATCACAAGATTAATAACACAGATGACGAAATGCTGTGTAAGATTAAAATAGAACATGAACATCTTCTCAAGACTGGTTGTCGGCTTGTGTGTCGTTTGCCCAAGAGCATGGCAGATGCACCGCCATGCTTAGTGTGACATTTCCACGTATGCTAAGACAGAACACTTCCTATTTTTATACATTTTAATCTACTCTGACACAATTATGTAATGAGACAAACCTCTTTTTAAGGAGAAGCTGGAACTTTCAAGAATTACCATTCGAAGTAAACATAAATGAAATTATTAATAAGTTTAGCCCTCACAACGCTTCCACAGACTAGGACATGGCCTTTATTCTTCTTCCCTCCACAGCCTTCACTGTCTTGTCCCTAGACGAGGCAGAATTCCCACAACCTGAAGAACTATCTTTGTAGAGCTTAAGCTTGAGGCCTTTGCACAATGACTAAAACAAATGGTATTAAAATTAGAAGTCAGTATTAGTCACTGATACAATGCTCTATATGCCAGTACGTTAGCCTTCCTCCTCCCATTCTTATCTCTTTTACTCTGTACCTCACCTCTACCCAGACACCCTTTAATGACATTTGGCCCTGGGCCAGGGGATAACTCCTGGGAAAGAAAAGGAGCTAACTTTTACTGAGTGTCCACAATGTGCCTCAGCCTCATGTCAGGATCTTCAACAGGCGCTCTCATGGCTCCTTCATTATAACCCAAGATGTAGACACCGTTATGATCTCCACTTCACAGAGGAGGAAATGAAGGCTCAGAGAGGTCAAGTGACTGCCCAAGGTCACATAGCTAGTGAACAGCAAAGGCAGAATTCAGACTCAGGTCTGTATTCCTTTGAAGCCAACGTCCACCCTATTATACCATAGGCAGCATTCACTCACAGAGAATATTTCCAGCTTCTCCAGTGGAAATTACAACCTATCACACCTGGGCTCTGACAGAGGATGCTCAAAGCAGTTGTTCCAGAAAACTAACTGCTTATGAGTTAACACTAGATGTCACTTAAATCCTCCACCCCAGGGAGAAAGGATCAGGTGAGGACGTTCGGGGGGTGTTGGGTAATACTGCCTTACTACTTGGTCATAATCAACTTGTCAAGGACACAGAGCCTGGGAAGTCTGGCCACATACAAGGGGACCATTGCTGAGCACAAGTAAAATGAGGCCAAGGGATTTCAAGGTAAACTGGTCCCAGTTTCCCACCTCCACCACAACTTAATCAAGCTTCAAATACCACCACCAAGTGCTGCTGTTGAACAGCTACTGGTGGTGAGCTGGTAACACTTTCAATCCTCTGGCTGAACTGATGCATACTGAAACAGAGACTTCCTAGGAGCCCATCCAGATTGTAAAGGGAGAATGTGTAAAAGCAAATATTGCTACAAAGGCTATTAATATCGCTCTGAAAGTTACACATGCAAAGGAAATCCTTTAAAAGTGGGGTTGGGGGAGGAGGAGAGAACCTGGCCTACTAATGCAATAATTAAATCCTTTTTTCTGGGGCAACTCATACCTTCAAGAACAGGTCTCAATCTCTCCCACCCCAATATTTGCCACTTCTTAGAACTAAGGAGCATGAACAATTATTTAAAACTTGCAAATGATGAAAATGGCAGTGCAGTTGCTCCAAGAGCTCTAAAACATTTGATTAAATTAGTACATTTTAAAATACTTACATTGACCAATCCGAAGTAGTGTTCATTGATTGGAAACTGCTCTGGACCAATGTCTTTTTCCAGAGCAGAGGCATTGGTGCCCTAAGAGAGAAAAACAACAAAAGTTCTGTTGTGTGTAAAATAGACAAGAAAGCAAAATGATACTTGAGAGAATCCACTATGGAGACCAGCATCCCCTCTGGTCGCCACAGGGTTTGGTGATGGTCCTGCTGAAAGAACAGGTGTCAGAAGTAGACCAGTAGATGAGGTAGTAAGGCCAGCCTATTTCTCTCCTCATCCAACTTCGTCACTCCCTCGAACTTGTCCTACCCAGCTTCAACTATCTTCTGTCAGGAAAGGAGGTTTGGGACAGGCAGATAAGCAGACTATTGCTCAGAACTTCCGAATAAAACATTCTAAGCTTTTATACTACTCGGTGGTGTACAGAATCATACCACCATTTTCAAGGTCAATGGCATCATTCTGATAGAGGTTTATCCATCGTGCACCCACTGTGTGCCAGGCACCACTCTAGGCTCTGACAACAGAAGAGCAAAGACAGCCGGAAAGAAAAAGCAAGCACAGCGGACGGCAGGTTGGAAGGTGCTAAGTGCAGGGAAGAAAAACAAAGCAGAAAACGAGGGTGGGACTGCAGGGAGTAGGGAGTGGAGAGGAGGAGAGGAGGGAGGAGGTGTGGAGGGTAGACAGTTGGAGCTCAATTTAAATAGGGGGGTCAGGGAACTGTGAGATCTCCAAGAAATACTGTAAATAATGGAGAAACACAATTTAAAACCTAACAGTCCCCAAACAGATCAAGTTGGTAAGCCATATGAACCCCAGTTCAACTCTCCAACGTGATAAGAAGTTACTGGGTACTCCCACTGTGTGCCAGGAGCTGCACTGTTTATTCTCACAACAATACCATTAGGTAAGCACTATCATAAACCCCATTTAACAGACAGGAACTTAAGGCTTAGAATGGTTAAGAATCTGCCCAAGGGCCATGGGCAGCAAGTCAGTAAGTGGCAGAGCTAGAACCTGAACCCAGGAGTCAGACTTGGGAGCCCATGGTCTTAACCAGATGCGACGCAGAGCAATCCTATTGAACAAAAGCATTTACTGAGCCCTGCTGAGGGCAAAGCGGTCACTGGTGATCCACACAGATTGCCATTTTCCCCCCAAGGCCTGGATGAGTCAGTCTGCTGGGACAAGGAAAAGTGACCAAAGTTCAGTCCAACCAGGTATGGGGGTGGGAGGGCCAGGCCCACGTGGACTGGTGGCTCCACCATCCTTCTACAGCCTTCTCACGTTCCCAGGCAATAGCAGAAGACTCACTGTTCACAGAACCTCAAAGATTTGGGAGACAGGTGTTTTAAAAAGAAAGAGACTACTATGTTTTACTTAAAAAAAAAAAAAAGAATCTGCTGCTGCTACTTACTCTGGGCTCACAGAATTAGAATCTCCCATCAAAGAAAGAAATGGCCAAAAAGCAGGCTGAGAACTGGTCAAAATGGTCACGTGTCAAAAGCAAATATTAAATACAGAATAACTCAATTCTAAGCAAACAGAACCCCAGCAGAAATAGCACATTCCACCCTCTTATCATAATCTCTTTTGTTTCCACTTGTTTTCCAGGTCCATTACATTGTTTCACCAATCGAAATTCCTTTCCCCATCATCAGAAACTTTGAGTTCGGTGGTCATCTGTGTGCACGACAGTGTTCACTATCTTTTCTTGTGTGTGTGTGTGTGTGTGTGTAGTTTTTGTTGCCTTCAAAATAATGTGACTCCATATACAAGGCTGAATTTTTTAAAAATAATACTTATAAGAAAGCAGGATTTTATGGTATAGACAAAAATCACTAAAATTTTTCAACAAAGCTACACCTCAGTCATAAATCGATGTCAATAATGTGTATTAAATACATCCATAGCCACTTTTGAAGCAGCATGAGAATATATGGCTTCGAGCCCAGGAGGGATGTCAGATATAAAAGTATACATAGCACATGAGACAGATTTCATTAAATCTTTCTTTATGAGGTAGCCATGTATTCAATCCATGATTTTTGCTATGTGGGAATTCTAGGGTGGAGTCTGCTTTTTTCTACCTATCTTAATATTTTCCCACTAAAGAGGCAGTTGGCGGGGGCGGCTAGTTATGACTCATACCAAGTACGGTGACCCAGGGGCAGTGATGAAAAGGAACACCCTGGACAAGAGGCAGGGACCACGAAGGCAGTGCGGGAGCACCCACAGCACAGCTAGGGGAAAGAGAGTGAGCTCAGTGTCTTCGGTGAAACCTGGCTCTCCCCTGAGGTCCACACTTCCTGCCACCCTTCAGGTCAGGCGTGCTCATCTTCTTGCTCAGCGCACACCAGTTCTAGCAGGGTCAGGAGAGGAGGTCAGCCGGACTCTGATCCTCAGAGCAGCTTCCAGACCACTGCACCTTCACCTGCTGGTCAAAATACCTGCCTTCTGCACCCTGTGCCTCCCAGCACTGTACAAACCCCTTCCTTTCTCCTCTTCTGGTCTGACCTGCAATTCACAGACGACCTAGCTCTCCACCCCATCTCCTGTCCTCACATTGGGTGGTTTCAGTATCCACGTGGCAGCATCTTCCCACATCCTGCTCGCTCAGTGATCCCATGTCCTCTTTTCCAGCTGCCTTTATCCCTCTCCACTTTTTTATATTCCACTCCACTCCAGCTACTCACTCCCAAAGACACAACCTGGACTCAGGCTCCTTTTATCTTGTTGCTCTGTCGTCCTTCAGAGTCTACCTTTGGAAGCAACGTGGCCACTCCAGCTCCCTCCCATCAAACACCCTCTGCCAGGGGGAAGCAGACAAGGTGGGGAGGGACCACTCCTCCCCTTTCAGGAATGCTCCTGGAAGCCGCACGCATCCCTTCCGCTCATGATCCCGATGGCCAGAATCCTACACACGGACACACTGAGCTGCCAGGCAAGCTCGGCAAACATACTCTTTACCTGAGCAGCTCCACGCAGCTAGCATCAGCCATGGAGAAAGGACATGGAAGGAACAATCAGCAGTCAATGCGTCAGATGCTCCTCCCTGCAAGGTTTGTAACAGCAAAAAGTTAGAAATAACTGGTTAAATAATTATGGTAATAAACAGGATGGAATATCATGTAGCTACTTTTTAAAAAAAGTAAAGTGGCTCTACAAGTGTGGCTATGCAAATCTGCCCAAGATGCAGTGATAAGTGAAAACATGTTACAGCGTGACTCTGCGTGCAGGACGGTGCTGGAAACGTCCTCCCGTCAGTCAGCAGACACGGAGACTCTACATCTGAGGGACACCAAGTGAACAGAGCAGACTGGGCCTGCCTTCAATACCTACATTTTAATGGAAATTCCAGGAGGAATGCTTGAGCAGTTATTAGCACTTGTCACTGGTGTCTAGAGATGGGACTGGCAGATGACAAGGCCACCAGGGGGCTTTTTGTTTTCTCAACTGTTCAAATTTTCTACTATGAGCATACATTATTTTCGTCATTAAAAATTTAATAAAAAGTTCCCAAACTAACATCCTGCAGACCAGTTATCGAAGTAAACCGCAAGGTGCATCGCAAACCTGAGAGCCTGCACTTGTACCGCTGGCACCCAGCACTGCGGCACAAAAGGCAAGCGGGAGGCGCTGAAAACGACTGACCACACGTGGAACAAAACACTGAGCTATAGTGGCAAATCACAGGGTCTGGAGGGATGAGAAACAGAGTTCTCATTTCCATCAGTGAAAAAATTTGATAACCTTTGAAAAACAATGCACCACACTTTATTAAAAATAGAATCTGGGCTGGGACAAGTTCCAACAAGAAGACTAATGCTGGCTCTTCAAAGCACTTCTGAAAGCAACTGTGTGACTGCCGAGGGGTGCTACAAACACAAAACCAGCAATAGCAACACCTTGGAAAGGATGAATCACAAATGTATCAGGTGGGTATAGAAAGGCATTTCTCTTAAAGCAATTCTAAAGGCAATTTAAAAGGAAAACATGTTAGAATTTCTTCCTCTGGGGGAAGGGGGAAGGAGACAGATCCTTGCCCAGGAGGACATAATGAAAACAACAGGACTGCAAGGTCTATAAAAACTGACTAGAACACTGTCATAATATGCAGGAGCCTAAACCAAAAACAGAGACCAGGAAGGGGCGCTGGAGATCAGCTAGACCATTTCACAGATGTAAAAACCAAGGCCCAGAGACGTAAATGTATTTGTCACACCCAAGGCGACCCGTTCTGTTGCATCCTGAGGCAGGCAGGCAGGCAGGCTCTCTTTCCAGTTTGTATAAAGCAGAGAAAGGTCCAAAGTAACATGGAAGGATTTCTAAGTACATAGAGAATAATTCATTCATTATAAACCATGAATTAAAATATGACAGGGGAGGTGAATGTTGTTGCTAAAACCACATTTTTAGCTCTATGTTCAAAATAAGGCTATTTTACTTACTTTACAAGTATGATTTCAAAGTACAAAAGTACATAGAGGACTAATTCTCAAAAGGACTAGTATTCCCAGACTTCTGAGGACAAAGGGTCATTCCTTGAGCCTTACAGAGAAAGGGAAGCAAAAATGAAGTGATACAGCCCAAGATCTCAGGATGAGTCAGGAGCCTCTTGTCAGAATTCAAGGTTGGTTACGGAGGAATTACAGTCACTGACCCCCAGATGTAACTAGTGATAATAATTATAGATAACAGTCACTGCTCTAAGCACCTGATATATACTTTACTCATTTAAATTTTCATAATAACTCCATGAGGTAGGTGCTACTACTGACCCCATTTTAAAGATTAGAAAACTGAGGCACAGAGAGGGTGAATGCAGCCAATAAATACTGGAACTGGATTTGAACTTAACTGAGTCTGTCTCCAGAGTGTATGCTCCCAGCCATTACACAATACTGACTGTCAAGGTGGCGGGGTCCCCTCCGAACCCCAGAAGTGCAGGAACTGAAGAACTGAGGAAATAGAAGGGGTCACTGAGTTATACAGGTAAACCCCTACTTTTGAGCCACCCCTCAGAATATACTAGAATGAGGAACATACGTATCCTTTTTTGTAAAATCACCACAGAATAC